CCCCCGGGAACCGGGACCGCCGAGGAAGGCGCCAACTCGAGCTGCTGGGCTACGCCGTGCGAACGCCCACCCCGTAGTTCGGCCGATATACGAACCTCTTTGCCATCTCTTGACCGAAAGAGATCGCCAGTCGCCCGCTGGGGGTTGATTCGTTGCCCATCGAAATAGCAGGAGCAGTAATTGGGGGTGAGGCTGGGGGTGGTACAGCTGGTATAACCAGGAGTTCGAATCTTCTCTGTGCCAAGAAGGCCGGGGTCGAGCACCTTCAGCCGGAGTGTCTGTGGCAAGGGTGAGGGTTGGTAAGTGTCCAAGCTGGGAGCATTGTGGTAATGCAATTGGATTTGGAACAAGCGGTGTGTGGAAATGTTAGTTTTTGGGACTACATCTCCCAGAATCTTCATGATGTCTGGAGCTCTGAGAATAAGCACATTATTCTGGAGGAGAAACTCTGTGCTCGAATGTCTTTTGGCAAAAAGCCACGCGTGCTCTTGAGGCCAAAAGCACAAGAGCTGGATAAACTTCTGACAGTATTTAGGAGGCCCACACCTTTATTGTTGTTGTTCTGTGCCATCAAGTCGCCCCAGCTTATGGCAGCCCAAAGAAGGAGTGATCTCCCAAATGTCTTCAACAGCTGTGCTCAGCTCTTGCAGACCCAAGCCTGTGGCTTCCTTTAGGGAGCCAATCCGACTCAATTTTAGTCTTCCTCTTTTCCTGCTGCCTTCATCCTTTCTCAGCATTGCCCAAAGTAGGACATCCTCAACTTCATCATTTTTGCCTCCAGAAATAGTTCAGGGTTCTTTTGATCTAGAACCACCTCCTTCGTCGTTCTGTCAATCCAGGGTGTCTCCAAAGCTCTCCCCCAGCACCACATTTCAAACAAATCAATTTTTTTCCTGTTAGCTTTCTTTACTGTCCAGCTTTCACACCCACGCATGGTGATCCAAAATACAAGAGCGTGGATGATCCTGGACTTGGTCTCCTCTAGCGACACATTTTTAAGGTGGATCATCTTTTCTGGTTTAATTTTTTGCTGCCCTTCCTGATCTCAGTCTTCTCCTGATTCCTTGGCTGTAGTTGGATTGATGATTGAACCGAGGTATACCAACATCTCTATTTCAATTTCTTCATTGTCAGTGTTAGAGTTCTGTAGTTCTTATCCAGCCAGTAACATCATGACTCTTTATGATATAAAGACTATCCGTTCTGTTTTCCATTTCTTTTCATTTTTCTATATAATACTTGAAAATACACAACCCATAGGTTGCAAAAAATGGTGTAAATTGTGAGAATTTTTCTGTCAGAATGCTTCTAAAATGTCCTTATAACTTTGAAAAATAACTAAAGAACATGACTTGTAACACCTCACAGAGCAATTTCATTCTCACTATGATATTAGGTTACGGTACTTTCTAAATTTAAAAATAGCCTGGTTATGTCTAAAGGGATATTGCTAAGTCTTGACAGCAAATTGCCACTCACTAACAAGGTGCTCATTGTGTTCCTGGATGCCCGTCTTGAGGAATGCAACCAGCACCTTGCTAGTAGGTGCAAATTTGCTACCAAAATGACACAATTTCTCCTACACAAATGTCAATCAGCAGTAGGATTCTAGCCATTGTAGCAGTAATATTTATACTCAACAGTTTTAGTACAGTTTTCAATGACTACTGAAATTACAATTTTTCTTTGTTTGTGCTTCCCCTGAAAAATAGTGCTGAAATATTTACGTCTGAAAAAAATACTCTAGATGGTAAACATTTGAACACAATACTTTGAAAAGTAGAAATGTCTTTGTGGGGGAAAACAAGTTTCTTGTTTCTATTCTGATTATTGTTTACTAGCTATGTACTAGCATAAAGCCTTTCTGAGGATGTAGGGTTAAATAAACACTAGATTCTTATTTTGTTACCTGACTTAGCTCCCTTTTCAAACTTTCACAAAACCGAGGAACTGATAACTGGTAACCAGTTTCAACATCATCATGTTGCCCAGAAGCAGAACTTAACAAAAGTTTGGAAGTGCTTGTTGGCTGGGAGATTATTAGCTGTAAATCCAAAACTAACTTTTCCAAGCTCTGCAAGGAAGCACTTTTTGAAATGAGGAAATTGTGAGACACTGCATTTAAGTGGGAGAGAATGCAGCCCTGCTCACAACTGGGAGAAGAGACATCAGTTAGGAAGGGTGTGCTATTTGGTTGCTTATGTTTACACCTCCAGTTCAGTTGTATTGCTTCTGATCCATCTGGGTCATCCTAATGTAAACAGGGAAAATGTCCAGTTTGTTACAGATACTCTAAAACGTAGACAAAATTAAATGTAAATCAGTAGGAAGGTTCTTTAAATCCAACACCAAGACCACTAGATTCAACTTACAATGTAAAATGTCATTCTATGCATCTCATTTTCAATGTTCGTAAGAGGGCTGTTGGGTAAATCAAGAATGAAACATATGAAGATATAACCAAATAATTAATAGCCAGATCTCTCCAGCGCAATCAGTTTCCTTTGTGTTATGAAATCCAGCAGATTCTTGGATGAGTGATGTTATTGAAACTCATCTCAAAATCTTGTGAATTTTTTAAGTGCATGTATGAGCACATCTGCACACGTATACACCCAACTCACCATTTTCATTTTTTATACATCTGCAAGATATGCAGAGCTGCTTCAGGTATTCTGGAGTGTGAAATAACACACCCACCCCCCAGCATTTCTAAGCTTTGTTTTAAATAATATTTTCTCCAATATTTTGTACTGGGGGAAAATAATTATCAAAAGGAAGGTGTTTGGATCCATCTACTCCATAGTGACAAAGATATACTTAATCCATTTTGCTACCTAGCTTACCAGAACTGTGGAGTGTATTAACTGAAACCTGCCAAAGATTAGCATCTCTAGATACATTGTTTGAGAAACATGGGGCATTATGGTAATACATATAAACAAGTACCCTGTTTTGTAGTCACACACACACACACACACACACACACACACACACACACACACACACACACACACACCACACACACACACACACACCTGTTCTGCCCCCACCACAAAAGCACTGGGGAGCGTAAGTGAATTTTAATTTCCTTCCTTGTTTATGTCTCTTCTGTAAATGTGTGAATGCTTGGCTGTCACAAGCCAGAGGAGACAGAAGAGTCTTACCTTATTAAAACACCATCAAGCACATTTTAAAACAGAGGCTCTAGGTGAAAAGATTAAATTATTGATAGAACACAGTAAGTGTGGAAGGAGATGTTAACCTTGCTGGTTTTAATTTCCTTACTACTGAGGATGGCCATAGAAAAAATATTGTTTCAGTGAAAGAAGATGCATTGCAGGAAATTCATAGGAAAGGGCAAAGTATTCGATGAGTCATGGCATACAATAATTCTGTGAACTCAAAATACTTTAGATGGCATTGAGTTGAGTTTTTTCCCTTGAAACCAACAGATTTTTTTAAGTGTCAGCCTTGTTCTTAAAAGCAGTATGTTAAAGCACCTGAAGAAAAGGGGAGGAGGTGGCTTAATTATGAAAACACATTGCTATTTGTAATTCTGTCATTTCTTTATATCTTGGGTAACAAACTCTAATCAAGGGGGGGCAAAACATCTGCACTCCTGTTTTTTTGGACTACAATTCCCAGAATCCCCAGTCTGCAGTGCTAATAATAAAGGACTGTGGGAGGAATGCACCCAAAATTCCTCCAGCCAGCATAAATACTACTGGCTAGGCAGCCTAATGTCCAAAAGTAAGTTTTCCAAGCTCTGATTGGAGCCTTACAGTAACACGAAAAATGCTGCAAGAGTAAACACCTATCTAATCCACCATTTATCTCTTCTTTGCCATCTTGACCATGATATAGGCTCAGTAGCATGCCTGAAGCTGTATTGCATCAGATTCAGAACAGAGTTTCCTTGAGAGCCTTGATGCATTCCTTTCTTAAATGACAATTCCCAGAATCCCCCATGCTTGCTGAGGATTCTGGGAACAATGATTCAAAAATGTAATTGTATTGAGCTGTTGGTCTCCACACCTACATTTTAGCTATCTTTCCGCACATGGTTTCATTGCTCCCAGATTAGATGTACACCAAGGTACTGCCTTAACTTTGCAAAGAGGGTGAAGACACTTGGATATGATCATGTCAACACCCACCCCCGGACATCTCTATATTTCACAGTGTGACCGAGATACTGACAGGAGCATCAGCCATACCAACAGCCCTCTGAAGTTCAATCAGAATTTTTTAGCTTCTGTGGGTGGACTGTTTGCATAAATCCTGCACTCGGTCAGAGGGGAGGGGGAATACTGAAAGTCTAAACCTCAGCAGGGTGATCAGACCACGGCAAAGGAAAACACGTCAAATCCTCCAGTTTCCTGTCTTCCTGAAATTCCTCTCTTCCTGCCTGATTGAGAAAATCATACCCAAGTAATGTCATTTTACCACCTAGATTGAGGAGATGTGGACACCTTCCTTGATTGTCACAGCAGCCTGGAAGTCCTAAGCTGTACCAGATCCAGTTGGGTCGGTCACTTACATATAATTAAAAAGAGAGTGTGCATTACCAAAGAAA